GCTGTCCGCAGCATTTGCCGCAAGGCCTCGAAGGCGGGAGGTGTTGCAGCGCGCCCGCCGTGCCCCAGGCCACGGCGCCACTCCTCTCTTCCTGCGGACGCGCAACGAATCGCAATTGGCCCCGGCTTACTCCCGCGGATTAGATTGCAATTTATCTTGGCCTCTTTGACCCGACCGTGTGCTCCCCTCGGCCTCGCGAGCAACGCGACCCACGCGTCGCGTCGGGCCAGCACGCGCATCCTCGGAACGTGGGTCGCGTGGACGCGGCACGCCGAAAAGAGAAGCCCGCGAGAAACGTGGAAATGATTTCAGCCCGTCGAAACGTGATGCGCAGTCACGAAAATTAAATGTCCATGCCGAGAGGAGAGTCCGCGAAAAACGCTGCAGCTGAAAAAAAAATTATAACTCGTTGAAAAAGGCGTTGACGCGCAGTCACGTGAATTAAATAACGCGCTGCTCGGATCTTGTTATAGATTATCGATACTTTAAAGCGCGTGCGTAAAAAGAATTATTAAATAATAGAGACGTAGGGGTAACGTACGAGGTTCAAACGAGTTCGCGAGGTAAATTGCGGAAATTTACTTAAATTCCGAAAAAAAATTCTACTGCTAAATATTTAATACACATATAATAACCGTTTACAGAATTTTTATCCCGTTGCTGATATTTTTCGGCAATCAATCCTTTCTTTACTTTTTCCATATAGAAAAGGAATAGAATATATTTATATATTTCAAGCATTGTAGGATATGTATGTGTATAATAATTTTGTTCTAAAAATTAATCCTTGTATATTTAAAAGATATTCCAGAATCTTTTAACTCAATTTTTATCTTATCACAGAGAGATGATAGATTTTATATTCTATTCCGTGCCGATATTTTTCGGCAATTAATCCTTTTTTAACATTTCTTAACTTCTTCCATGTGTGTGTGAAATTATAAATATTATTATATTATACGTTAATATCCATATTTTTCCGTTCCATCAACTTGCAACTCGACTCGCGGACTTGCCGTGAGAAGAGACCTAAAAAAGTTGCGGTTTAAAAGGTCTTATGTCAGTGTCAGGAAACAACACTCAATCGCGCTTTTTTTATTTACGACATAATCGATTGAGTATGACGACTAAACGAGGGGAAAGAACAATTACGAAATGTAACCGGACAAATTATTTACCTTTCCGTCAACAAGATCCGAAAACTCAGCTCGATGCGCTTCGTCGAAACCGCTTACGAATACACTATTGAGTAACGCTTCGGGAGAGGAAAGTAATCGGATGATGCTCCGGTTGTTTTCAAAAACAAAAATATTGCAATCTGTGTTACGGTGGCACGTGACCCACATCACGAGAGCAAGTTAACAAGCGACGAAGGCGAAAGCTCCGATGCGTGCCGAGGTATATCAATGCAGCACTTTCACAGATTTCTGAAAAATGTAAGAACTAGCGCGGAGTATCCCATTAGAATTAATTTGTTCTTATCTGTCGTAGAAAGTTGTGGTAACAACAATCTCCTGTCAGCCTTTTAAGGCCCAAAGGATGCGCGTGAATTTCAATTTAATACGTCGTTAAAAGATTGAACGATAAAGCGTGTGATTCTCCGTTCTGGAATAATAGAGTCACGCTTACTGAGCTTCGTTTTAATTTTACGAATATGTTGTTTACGATACGAGCGAATTATATCAAACAGATTTCATCGTGTCGAGAGAGTTATTGTTCTGTCAGCAAAACTGTTAGTAGCACTCGCTTTAGTAGGACGGCGTGCGAAGAAAATAATTAATATTAATTAGATCGAAAGAGTTATGTTACATCTTAAACATATAGATTATAATTACATTATTTTATCATATTACACTGTAAAATATCTATCTACTTTTGTAAATTTATTTTTCCTTCCAGAAAGTAAATTATTTTCTGACAATTTAACGCGCTTTTCGGAAAATAGAAATCTAAATCCATATTTATGACTGTTTTGGGCTTCTGCCCCTCTCCTTGATTACTTTTCTAAATATTAATATATAAATAAATATCGCCTCGTACAGCTGCTCTCTGCAGAATAGAATAAAATAAGAATCGATCATCTTTCTGTAATAAAATAAAAATTGAGTTGAAAAATTCTGGAATATTTTTTAAATATTGAAATCAATTTAAAAAAATAAAATTATTATACCTATCCTACCATGAAATATATGCATTATTAAATGTAATTCTCTCAATTATTAATTTGTTGCTACGTGCCAATATTCACGAGCAGTTCTCAGGTTCGACGACTTTATCGTCGCGATCTGGGATTAAAATTGTTAATCATAGCGGCGTGAAAAACGTGCGCGCAAAGATAAATAGATACTATTAATAGTTTCGTCGAGACATCTCCTCCCACAGTCGGATATGAATTATTTAAACAACGTCGAAGCCTCCGAAACCTATTTGTTGTCCTTAGAGAGCCGCGCGGGATTCAGATGGCGGATTAAGCCCGATCATTTACGGCGCCGTCCCCGATTGAAATATAAGTCTCGAGTTAAGTATTAAACGGTGTAATTGACATACTGCGACTTGTCTGCCTCTGTTAGCTGCAGCGTCCGTGCGTATGGATGCGTGCGCGAGATTAAATAATTGCTCCAACATATATTATGGTGGACGGTGGACACGGGAGAGCGGGCACAAGACAAAGTAAATTGACTTAACTGCTAACATCCATTTTGACCATAATCGCAACTGAATGTGACGCAACTGGGCTGATCGTAAAACAGTTCCAAACGTTGCCGAATTTGTTAATCCGTGTTGCGCGCTTGTGTGCTGAAGCAAAATTAAAAACAATTTTAAAAGGAAAAATCGTACGGCATAAATTAAATATAATGAATTATGTTTAATATGTAGGTATTAAATTCTATGGGTAGTCTTTACGTAATAAATCATATTATAATAATATTATAAATATTAAGAATTCTTGTGTTGCATTAACGTTATTATAAGCGACGTTATTATAACATTATTAACACGTTCCGTGCCGCGTGATGTCCCACTTTCCGTTCAGGCCGTTTAATATTTTGGCCTTTTGATTTATTAAAAAGTATTTTCATATTAAATGTTAAATCAATATTTAATAAATATTAAGATTAAATAAATATTTAATAAAAATATTTGTTTCTTTTTGCATTTTGTACATTAGACTCTTTTCTTTATAATGGTTTTTTTGTTTTGTAATTATGAAACACAATTTATTTAACAACTATAATGAACATACTGCGTGGGTCACCGATGACCCACGCGGCGTAGAGGACAAATCACGTAAAATTAGTCCGGCGGAACATGTTAATATAAAATACCATTTCACACGCGAGCTTCTTCCGAGAAAAACAATCTCCTGGAAAAGGAGCAGCTCAACCGACGTCAGATGAATCGTAATGCATCCAATGAAAGAGGAGTCCAGATGAGGAGATAATTTTTCGCTTATAGTCATACCGGCTGCGAAGGATGAAGAAAACGAGGAGCTTTAACAAAGCACGCGGAGATAGTCCACCGCTACTTTATTAAAAATGTAAAACAGCGCTCCAGGTACAAAGATGACACGGTGCGTTTTTTTATTAAGTGAGAGATACCTCATAGAAATCAAATGACAATGTCGATGACGGAAACGGGTGAGAAAGAGAGACGACCCTACGTGTCGTGGTATCTGCAGTAGGCGCTGTCCTCGATGAGTTCCTGAGGAATCCACTCCTCCGCTGGAAACTGATGCGACAGAGTCGCCGCGTAATCCTCCACCTCCTTGAGGACGCGCAACAAATTTCCGCCCACAAGCTTCTTTATATCGGTCGCGGACCATCTACGGTCTCTGGTCAGCTCGGCCAGCAGCAAGGGGTAGCCAGATACGTCTGGCAATTCCGTCGGCGGCCTGAATAAGTGCAAATGTTTCTCTCAATCCTTTTATCGCTTAGGTCTGTCGGGCTCTGTCCGAAAGTACGTGCGTTATAATTGTTATAAAACAGTAAATAAAATAGTAATCTTTTATAACTGCACAATATTTTGGATCTACGTCAAGCAGACAGAAAAAATTATTATGCAAATGCAAAAATTATCGTTCTGTCGTTGTACAGGCAAACGTAAAATAAATGTGAGTTTAATAGACACAGACAGATGGTAGATAGAGGATTGAGCAATAGTTATTTTTATAGCAAAGAAGTGCTGAATGTGTACTCATTCTTCGAAACAAATAAAATTAGATATGACGCCTTGATTATATTTTTAATTAGTGAAACAAATTACGAGATCACTGTTAATTATGGCAAATTATTACTTTGAAGGTTTTAATGGCAAATAAAAATTAATGAATATTGAAACGGGCTGTCAGCAGTTGCTCGGAAAGTTATTGGAAAGTAATCGCGTTGCGTAATTTCCGCAAACGTGCATTAACGGTACCAGTGCATAATAAAGATATGGCAATGCTGACGCATCTTCAGCTACCTCAATATCCCGTCGTAGCCCGCACCGAGGCCCACGTGGTTCACACCAGCTGTTCGTCTGATATGATTGATGTGAGCTGTAAAAAGAGACGGCGCTGTGTCTATCTCGTTCCCGGAGTTTTTGATGTTTACGATTTCGACTGTCAATCTTTTGATGTTTCTCACACACCGGGCTACTTACGCACCTATGATATCGTACATGGAGGCCTTATCGCTGCAGCTCAAGTGCGCGCTGTCGAAACTGACCATAACCAGACCGCCGTTGAGGGACTGAAGCAAGCAGAGATGAAAGCCACGCGATTAATCCTCGAACAAATATCAAGTCACCACGATGAACACTACATAATCTTCTTGTCTCCACGAAATAATTAAAAATTTAATATTTAAACGGATAACAGATAAGCCATTCGGTTTACAGATTATAAACAAAATTACATTTAGAGAAAAATAATTCCTTAGACGAAATTAAAATGTAAAAATCGACGCCTAAGCTGTTTAAAGTTAAACAATTTATTTCTGAACCATCATTCGTACTTTGTAGTGTTTATCGCAGGGTAGTTCCAGGGGAAATTTTCTCTTTCTTACCAAATTCCGCAGCACATCATCTGGGACATTGCTCGAGGAGTTGCAGAGAGCCTTGGCAGCGCTGTGCGAGAATATAACGGGCGCCTTTGTCACGGCGAGGGCGTCCCTCATCGTCCTCACCGAAACGTGAGAGAGATCCACGAGCATACCGAGTCGATTCAGCTCCCGGACAACCGCTTTGCCAAACGGCGAGAGGCCATCGCTGTGAAAATCGGAGGGCGCGTCCGAGTTCGGATCATCTACAGAGCACGAGTCCGCCCTGGAAATCAGAACCGAACTTCGGATATCGCGCCGAACTGAAAATCCAATCTAGAAGACATGCAGTTAAGATTCTCGAGCGCGAATGCGAAATTTGCGACTTCCTTTCCGGCAGAACCAAGATGTCATTTATTTGCGTTTAAGCTAATCGCTCGGTGTAAGATGTAATAAACTTCTAGGGACTTATCAGGCTCCTCGAACGATTAATGTAAATATAAACCGCGCGATGTGAAAGCAAAACGTTAGCTAATACCAGATGCCAATTTGCTCCTCCAAGGTTCGTTCCTTTCCGCTGTCATTATATCCGCGCAACGCTCATGTGCGCGTCTCGTGAGCGTAAAAAGACGTTAATCTTCCCGGTACGGCGCGGTCGAACTCACCACGGCGTGTTGCACTTGTGGGTCAGGGTCATGTAGCGCGCGCCCAACCGGTGGAAGCTCCTCAGCACCGCCATGGAGGTGCCGATGCTGTGGCCACCCTCTATCCCTACCAGGCTGGCGATCACCCCGTCCCGGTGCGCGTTCTCCAGCTCGCCGCTCGTCGTCACCAGCCGGACGCGCTTGGGGTAGCGCGACGTGAGCCGGCGCACGATGTCGATCTGCTCGAGGGTGAGCTGCACGGCGTCGAGGAACTGGGCCTCGCACGGCACGTAGGCCGACCAGAATTGCGCCCCGACGATTCCCTGCTGCAGGCGGATCAGGTCGGTCTGCCACTGCGGGCCCCAGCTGCTGTTGCGCGACAGGTCCTCGTCGAAGGGGAAGTTATCCAGCTTCGTGCTGCCGCGGTGCTTGCGCAGGTTCCAGGCGAAGTCGTTGTGTCTGATGAATAAACACAGAATACAGCTCTGATGATATATCTGTTCATTTTTCATTTTTAAACAAGCATTTGGATAGATCGCAGGTTTTTTTTTCTTCGAGATTTTGATACTGAAGCGCGAACTGTTCCGAATAACCGTAGCCGATTATTTTTAGCGATCTATTTTAATTCAGAGTGGAGTGGATCTTCTGCTAATTTATATATAAGATACAACTGTTACCCATCGATCAGTGGAATCTCTGAGAGCATTCTCCGGACCACCTGCAACCTAGCTTCTAGCAGATGAGAACTTCGAAGTTCCAAGGCGAGAGGCAGTCCCACGCCGGCCACCAAGGCACATCCGAGGAAGAAGAATCCGGTCATCACCATCCATCTTCTCACGGCACTGCCTCCTGCAGTACATTGTCCATGATCAAAATCTGCATCTTTTATTAAATTAAGGAGGTTCTACATGAAGAGAAAATCTTCAAATTTATCAATTCTAAGTATTCATAAAATATTTTCATGAATTTTAATGACGTTAGAGCTTATATTATATCCATATTAGTCGAAGGGAGGAATAATTAAAAATATCATATAAGCGCTCCTTTGACTCCGGCTTATACATGAAAATGTGGTAACGTCACTAACGTCGCGAACTTGAGTCTCGCTTGGTCTCGCTGTTCTGCTCATATGACCGTGGTCCTTTTCTAGTCAGTGACTGTGTTATAAATTTATAATGACTCCCCCAAGCCCGACCAATTCTTGGAGAAATAAGGATAGAATCTTGCGTGGTGTCAAAAGAGGAAAATTCGCTAAAAAGAAAGTTGTTCTTCGAATGGAAAATGCCCAAAAATCATTGGCAGATAAAAGGTTACGTGAGGTTAGTAATATTTTCAACTTTTCTTATACACATTCTTATACACTATCTGTAGAACCTCCTTAAAAGATTGCAGTCGTCCAATTCGTAGATGTCTTAATAATTTTATCAGCTATAATGTCATCTAT